GTCGCGCCCGGTATTGAGCGTTGCGATTTCGAAGGCAATACCGCCGGCGAACATGGGGGTGGGCTCTCGCTTGATTTACAGGGGTCAGGGTTCATGGGTGGCCTCTTCATCTTCGAAACGACATTCCGAGAGAATGTGGCCAAAGGCGAAGGAGGTGGCGTGTTCGCGAGATCGGCCCCCTTGGCCGAGATAACGGGCTGTCATTTCGAAGGCAATCAGAGTGTCAGCGGCGGCGGTGTAAGCGGACTATTCTCAGCCCTTGCTTTCATTGATTGTGAGTTCGCGGCGAACCACGCTGACGGCCCGGGGGGCGCAATCGGAGGACTGCACCGGACGCTTGCCGTCACGGCAGCCCTCACGCGGTTTTACGGGAATAGCTCTGGCGAGAACGGCGGCGCTCTCTTTGTCGAACACGTATCGCTTGAACAGTGCGACTTTGAAAAGAATATCGCGACCGGTTTCGGCGGCGCGATCCACGCGGATCTGTTTCCCGTCAACGCAACTGACACGAGGTTCGCCAGAAACGTTGCGGGAATGAACGGGGGCGCGGTCTCGATCGCTATCAATACCGAGAGCTCGCTGTACCGGTGTGAGTTTGTTGAGAACACCGGCACACACGGTGGTGCGATATTCAAAACGGGTTCGAGAACGCTTCTCTGCGAATCGTGCGCCGTGATTGACAACAACGCCTCTCTCAGAGGTGGCGGGCTCGCAATCACATCTAAGGGAATCGCCCGGATCACCAACTGCACGGTCGCGGGCAACTCCGCACCCGAAGGCGGGGGCGTGTCCGTGGATGAGACAAGCATTGTTGTCGGTCGAAACAGTGTGATCTATGAAAATCTCACGGAATCGCTCTCCGGGCTCGGGTACGAGATCTGTCGTTCAATCGTGGAGGGCGGAGCTCTCGGCCCTGGCAACTCGGGCGACGACCCACTCTTTGTCTCGCCTGAAACCGGAGACTATCGACTCCTGCCGGGATCCCCTGCGATCGACGCTGGCGATAGCGCCGCCCTTCTCGACGGGATAGATAGAGATGTCGCTGGGGATCTACGTTACATTGATGATGTTTCAACCCCTGACACTGGACCCGACGGCGCTCCGCATGTTGATCTCGGTGCGTACGAATTCCAGGGTTTCTTCCCCTGTCGTGGCGACTGTGACCTTTCGGGCAGTATCGCGTTCAACGATCTTGTCGCCATGCTCTTTGTGTTTGGATCGCCCGACGCATCGTGCGATACCGACGCGAGCGGGACCGTTGAGTTCAACGATCTCGTTGCCGCGTTGTTCGAATTTGGCGACTGCCTCACCGACTGCAACGAGAACGGGATCGACGATCTCGGCGAAATCCGTACGGGCCAGGCACCGGACTGCAACGCAACCAACCGCCCCGATGCATGCGACATCGCCATGGGCTATTCGCCTGACTGCAATGGAAACGGCATTCCGGATAGTTGTGACATTGCTATCGGCACATCGGAAGATTGTGATGGGAACGGCCGGCCCGACGAATGCGACTACGCCGATGACGAGTTGCACGACCTCAACGCGAACGGCGCTGCGGATGAATGCGAGATCGCCTATCTCTCGAGCCCGATCAGCGGCTCGACCGTCTCGTCCCTCACACCCACCTTGGTCTGGTGCGTCGCGCTCGACGGCACCGTCGCGCTCCTTGTCGATGATCACCCCGGTTTCTTCTCACCGGAAGTAATCGAGATCGGCGTGAACCCGGCGGGCCAGTTCACGGTACCCACGGGCGTGCTCGCCCCTGGCACGCTCTATTACTGGCGCATTTCTGTCGACACTGTTCCGACACAGACCAATTCGGTCGTCAGCACATTCACGACGCCGCTGCGCTCTGTGCCGTCCGGGCAACGGGCCGGCGGCCATCGCCGTTCGTTGGAGTGAGATCCACACCTGTTCCTGTTCGGGCCGTGCCCCTGATCTGCTTCAGCAGGTCGTTCCCGAACACCTCCCCCCGGCGCGTCCCAGCGACCTCGAGCATGCGGTTCGCGATCGCCTCGGCCTGGGCGTCCCGCCCGGCGGCAATCGCGATACGCCCCGACGCGTGGGCGGCTCGGTAGAGGGTGAGGCCGTGCTCGCCTTCGAGTAATGACGCGAGGTCGATGAGCTTGATCGCCCCCTCGGCGCTGGACTCGGGCTCGATGCGCACGAGCGCGGAGATGCTCGCGGCCCGGTCGCGCGGGATCGTGCCGTCCTCGGCCAGACCGTCGAGGAGGATGGCGACGGCTTCGCGGTGCGACGCGAGCGCCTCGTCCGGGCGGTCCAGGCGGAGCAGGGCGCGGACGCGTCGGTCGATGAGCGGCCTCGTGCGCGCGTCGCCGTAGATGCGGCGGACGAGCGGGATCGCCTCGTCGAGCAGCGCGAGGCACTCTTCGGCCGTCTCGTCGGTGTTGAGCAGGCTCGAGTAGGTGTGCAGGACCTCGGCGTAGTACGGGTCGTCGGTCGCGCCGGCGGCGCGGAATTCCTCGATGGCTTCCCGGTAGAGCGCCTTGCCGCGCTCGTGGTCGCCGCTCCGCAGGGTGAGGTAGGCGTAGTTGTGGATGCACGAGCCGGTCTCGCGGTGCGGGCCGGGGTAGAGCGAGCGGTAGCCGGCGAGGGCGGCGGTCATGAGCGCGTCGGCGCGGTCGAAGTCCGGTGGGTTCTTCGCCTGGTGCAGCGCGTAGCCGAGCTTCACCATGCTCTCGAGGGTGTTGGGGTGGGCGTCGCCCAGGTGCTCGCGTCGGATCGCGAGGGCGCGCTCCTGCACCCCCACCGCTTCGTCGTCGCGCATCGCGGTGAGCGCCGTGCCGAGGACGGCGAGCGCCCGTGCCACCTTGAGGTCGGGGGGGTCGCGGAGGGATTCGTACAGCTCCAACGCCCGCCTCAGGGGAGGCACGGACAGCTCGTACCGCCACAACGATCGGTAGGTCGCGCCGACGGTGAGGAGGAGGTCGGCCGCGTGCTCGGGGTGGGCGCCGAGTTCCGCCTCGGCGCGGTGGGCGATGTCGTCGAGGGAGTCCAGGAGGAGGGCGCTCTGCCCGCCCCGCGAGGCCACGGCCGCGCCGAGGGACCGCTGGAGGACCCGGTTGAGCTCCTCGGAGGCTTTCCTCGCGTCCGCCTCGCGCTGGGCCGCGGACTGGGCACGCCACGCGAAGCCGGTGGAGACGATCGATCCCAGGACGATCACGCCGATGAGCGCGACCAGAAGAGCGGACGCGGCCTTGTGCTCACGCGCGGTGCGCCGGAGGGACGCGAGGAAGTTCGGCACGCCGACGGAGGCGGCGCGGCCCTCGGCGATCGCTCGCAGGTCCGCGGCGAAGGCTTCCATCGACTGGTATCGGTCCGGCGGGGCTTTCTCGAGCGCGCGGCGGATCACGGCGTCGAACTCGCGGGAGACGTGCGGGTTGAGGCGGCGTGGGGCGAGGGGGTGGCTCGAGCGGATCGCCTCGAGCGTGCGGAGGACGTTGGCCCGGTCGATCGCGTAGGGCATCTCGCCCGTCACGCAGCGGTAGAGCAGGACGCCCAGGGAGTAGATGTCCGTGCGGATGTCCGGCGATTCGTCGCCCTGGGCCTGCTCGGGCGAGGCGTAGGCGGGGGTGAGGGCGAGGCGGTCTGTGCTCGTGAGGTTGGCGTCGTCGCGCGAGGGCCCTTCGAGCCGGGCGATGCCGAAGTCGAGCACGTGCGGCGTCGCGCGCCCGCTCGCGTTCGAGACCAGGACGTTGGAGGGCTTGATGTCGCGGTGGATGACGCCCTGCTGGTGGGCGTGGTGGAGCGCCTCGGCGAGCTCGGCAAAGAACCGCGCGGTTTCGAGGGTGCGCTCGTGACTCTGCGGGGACGCGTCGCAATGATCGGTGATCGGCTCGCCCTCGACGAACGGCATGACGAGGCACGCGCGACCCTCCCACTCGAACGAGTCGGTGGGGGTGACGATCGAAGGATGATCGAGCCGCGCGGTGACGCTCCGCTCGCGGTCGAGCCGGCGGCCCCGGTGGAAGATCTTGATCGCGGCGGCCTCGCCGGTCTCAATGCGTCGGGCGCGGTAGACGACCGCCTGCCCGCCCCGTCCGATCTCCTCGATCAGCTCGTACGCGCCGACGCTGGCGATGGGCTCGTCGCGCGCGGCGTTCCGGAGGGCGTCGAGCCAGGCGTCGCCCGATTCCTGCAGCGCGAACTCGGCGAGCGGGTCGCGCTCAGTCGCGGCGCCGTTCTGGTTGGGCTCTGTGTTCCTCATGATCGATCTGCTCGCGCACGAGACGCGCGAGTGTGTCCTTGGTGCGCTGCTTGACCTTTCGGACCGCCTCGGGCGTCATGCCCAGCTCGTCCGCGAGGCTCTGTGTGGAACGGCCGGCGAGCAAGCCTTCGAGGACGCGAAGACTCGTCGGCGAGGCGCCCTTGCGGAGCGACCGCAGCGCGAGCCGGTAGTGATGCTGCATCCATTGGCGGTCCCACAATTCGTCCTCGGCCGAGACGTCGTCGCGCCGCGCATCGGCGGCGACATTGGCATCTAGCCCGCTCGGAACGCCGGCGTGACGGCGATTCTGGCGGGAAATCGCGTTCCGCACGCAGACGCCGAGGTAGCTCCGGAACCGCCCGCGCCCCGTGTCGTACGAAAACCCGCTCGCGGCGCTGGTGAATCCGAGGAGCACCTGCTGGCGGACATCCTCCGCATCCGATAACTGCAGCCCGCGCGCCACGGCGTACGAGACGATGAGCGGGCCGTAGAGCGACTCGAACCGCGACCACGCCTCGAGATCAGCCGGATCTCGCAGGCGGACGAGCAGCGATGGGCGTGTGGTGTCGGTCATGGGGGCGGAATCGACGATCGGACTCCATTCTGTACGAGAAGACGCTCCCCGAGTTTCGATTCGACGTCCGGACGGGAAAAAAAGTCGTGATTCCGCGTCACGCTCGCCCGTGCGTGCGGCTAGTTGCCTGCGGAGGGCGAGGGGGCGTCGCATGGCCAGACCGGACACATCGGATCGAAGGAGTGAAGCGAGATGAACGTGCACATCATTACGGTCGCGCTCGCCGCGAGCATCGGGGGGGCCGCCTCCGCGCAGTCGTTCAACGTCGAATGGGGCACGCCCGGCACAGCCCCGGACGCGAGCTACGCCGCGCAGGGCCTGCCGGGCGTGTGGAACACGTTCGACGCGATGCCGAACGGGACGCGGTTCCCGCTCGTCGGTCTCGACGGTCAGCCCATCGCGGCGGACATCGCGAACATCGGGTTCGACGTTGTGGAATCGGCCGACATCCCCGGGACGACCGGGGGCGACGAGGCGCTCTACGACGACTGTTTCACGTCCTTCAACGACCCGATCGACGGGTGCATCTTCATGCGGTTCCTCGAGCCGGGCGAGTACGAGGTGATCCTCTACGGCATCGCGCCGGACGACGAGGCGCTCCTGAGCCCGCTGCGCATCGACCAGAACACGGAGGGCGAGGAGTTCGTCGGCGGCGCGTGGCCGGGGACGCACTCGGACGGGATCACCTACATGAGCCAGCGCGCGACGGTCGGCGCGGACGGGCGGCTCGACTACCACTCGGGCACGTTCGGCGGCAACTTTCGCTCGGTGCTCAATGGGATGCAGGTCGTGAAGCTCAGCGAGGTGTGCGCCGGCGACTGCGACCTGAACGGGACGGTCGATTTCAACGACCTCGTGAGCATGCTCTTCGAATTCGGCAGCGAATCGATCTTCTGCGACGCGGACGGGAACGAGGCGGTCGATTTCAACGATCTCGTCGCGGCGCTGTTCCTCTTCGGCCCCTGCCCGTAAGCCGGAACCGTTCGACGACGGAACGCGAGATGAGGCCGCGCCGCTCCAGGAGGGCGCGGCCTTGTTTTTGGAGCCTTCTCGGCGATTCTTGGATTTTTATTCGATCACGGGGCGTGGAAAGGTAGGTTGAACACAGGAGACGCTTGAATTGATCGGGGAGGAGGGACACCGCATGTCCGTACGAATCACGGCCGCCGCGTTCGCGTGTTCATTCGGCTTTGCTCTGGTCTCCCATGGGGGGATCATCCTCGTCGACGACGACATGCCGGCGGACTTCTCGACGATCCAGGCGGCGATCGACGCGGCGACGGACGGGCAGATCATCATCGTGGCGCCCGGGACGTACACGGAGAACCTGTTCATCAACGGGAAGTCGCTCGAGATCACGAGCACGGACCCGACCGACCCGACGGTGGTCGCCATGACGGTGATCGACGCGGGCGGGGCGGGGAACGGGATCATCTTCATCAGCCCGGACGGGACGCACAGCACGGACATCAGCGGGATGACGGTCCGGAACGGCGCGGCGTTCTCCGGTGCCGGGATCGCGTGCTCGAACGTGACGCTCCGGCTCTTCGACATGGTCATCGAGAACTGCGTCTCGACGAGCTTCGGCGGCGGGTTCTTCTCGAGCGTGGGCTCGAACGTGTCCATGTTCGACTGCCGCTTCGACTCGTGCGAGGCGCCGATGGGGGGCGGGCTGCTCGTCAACGATTCGGACCTGGTCATCGCGGACAGCACGTTCGCCGGCGGCATCGCCACGGACGAGGGCGGCGCCATGTCGATCGTCAACACCAGCACGGCGATCATCCAGAGCTGCGACTTCGAGAACAACGACGCCTTCGTCGGCGGCGCGATCTTCGTCTCCGAGGACTCGATGGCCAGCGCCATCCTGTGCGACTTCCTCGAGAACAACGCGTTCGGCGCGGGCGGCGCCGTCCGGTACGAGACGGGCGTGCCCGTTTTGGACGCCCCGATCACGATCGAGAACTCGGTCTTCACGTCCAACACCGCGTCGAGCGGGGGCGCCGTGTCGTTCTCGGGCGAAGCGGCTCCGGAGATCACGGGCTGCGGGTTTACCGGAAATTCCTCGACAAGCGGCGGCGGCGCGGTCAGCAACACGCTCGGCGCGTCGACGGTCATCTCTGGCTGCACGTTCATGAGCAACACCGCCCCGGGCGACGGCGGCGGCGCGATCGACAACTTCGACGCGGGCGGCGTGCGCGTGACGGGGTGCTCCTTCACACTCAACGGCGCGTTCCGCGGCGGGGCGATCTCGAACACGAGCTTCAGCGATATCATCGTCACCGACTGCTCGTTCGACATGAACGGGGCGACGAATTCGGGCGGGGCGATCTACAACTCCGAGAGTGCGCCCGTGGTCACGGGCTGCGGGTTCACCCAGAACAGCGCCCTGGGCGGCGGGGCGGTGACCAACATCTTCTCGAGCGACCCGGTCTTCCGGGGGTGCACCCTGACGAATAATTCCGCGGGCCTCCGGGGGGGTGGCGCGTTCAGCACGGACAACTGCGTCGTCCGCTTCGAGGCCTGCCGCTTCACCGGAAACTTCGCGCCCGAGGGCGGCGGGCTCTACAACTCACAGTTCTCGAGCCCGATCATCATCAACAGCCTCTTCGACGTGAACACCGCGGACGCCGAGGGCGGCGCGATCCACAACGACGGCGCGTCGGACCCGGAGATCATCAACTCGACCTTCGTCGCGAACAGCGCGATGAGCGACGGCGGGGCGATCTTCAGCAATTTCAACTCCTCGCCGATCGCGGTGAACTCGATCTTCTGGAACAACACGCCCAACGAGATCAACGGCGGCAACCCGACCGTGAGCACGTCGCTCGTCGATGGCGGTTTCCCAGGAGTGATGATCATCGCGCTGAACCCCGCGTTCGTGGACGAGATCGGCGGCGACTACCGCCTGGACGGCGCCTCGCCCGCGCTGGACCTCGGCGACGTGACCGCCCTGCCGATGGGCGTGACGGAGGACCTCGACGGCAACGCCCGCGTCGTGGGCGTCGGCCTCGACCTCGGCGCGTACGAGCGCCAGGGCGACACGCCCTGCCCCGGCGACTGCGACGGCTCGGGCACAGTCGACTTCAACGATCTCGTCGCCATGCTCTTCGAGTTCGGAAACGCCACACCACCGTGCGACGCGGACGAGAGCGGCACCGTCGATTTCAACGATCTCGTGGCCGCGCTGTTCCTGTTCGGGCCTTGCCCCTGACGCTCAGCCCGACGACGCGATCTGCACGTTCATCCCCTCGACGAACTGCGCGATGCCGTTGAAGAGCATCTCCACCGCGATGGCGACGAGGATCATGCCCATCAGACGCTCGGTGGCGATCAGGCCGCGTTTGCCGAGGATGCCGGCGAGGCGGCTCCCGAAGAACATGATCACCGCGGCCAGGCCCCAGGCGAGGACCACGGCGCCGAGCCAGACGTGGCGCATCTCCGGGTGCTTGGTGCCCATGACGGCAACGGTGGCGAGCGTCGCGGGGCCGGCGAAGTACGGGATCGCGAGCGGGACGATGAACGGCTCCTCGCTCGTCTCCTCCGCGCCGCCAATGGGGGCGGGCGGGAAGACCATCCGGATGGCGATGAGCAGCAATAGGAAGCCCCCGCCCGCGCTGAGGGACTTCTGCGAGACGTGCATCATCTCCAGGATGCTCTGGCCGACGTAGAGGAACAGGACGATCACGGCCAGCGCGATGAGCAGCTCGCGGACGAGGATCTGCTCCCGGCGTTTCTTCTCGATGCCGCGCATGGCGACGAGCACCTTGGGGACGTTGCCGAAGGGGTCGAGGACGAAGAAGAGGACCGTGGCCGACGAAACGAGCGACATCATGGGGATGCCTCCTGCCCTGGAATCGCCCACTTCGTGGTGGGCGGATGGTGTCCCGCGTACTCCCGGACGCGGGGGAACGGATCAAAAACGACAACGGCCCGTCGAGGGGAACTCGTCGGGCCGGGAACGGAACTTCGGAATCGTGGACGCCCCCGGTTTCAGACGGGGCTCTCGCTCAGATTCGTTGTTCCTCCGGGCCCGCCTGGGGCATCGGCTTGCTCCATCGCGGCATACGGATCGCGAGGAAGCTCAGCACGGCGTCGGCGCACGATCGTCGTGCCGCGATTTCCGCGGTGTGGCAACGCGTGCGTTTGGGGGCGGGCTGGAGGGAACGGGTGAGCATGAGGCGGGAAATCTATCGCTCGCCCGGGCGCGGGTCAATGCTCAGAAGCGATGATCGAGTGAACTTTTCCTTCGGAGAGACCGAAAACCAAGGGGGCGGATCGGCCCGCCCTGTTTGTAGCATGTGCCGCCTCCCGCGCTCAGAGCCGGGAGCCCGGGGAGACCGAGATGGGTCGAGAGGTCACGACGAACAACGAGCCGCGCGGGCGGCGCGCCAGGATGATGGTGTTCGCGCTGTGGGCCGTCGCGTTCAACGCGACGTGGCTCGCGATCGTGACCCTCGGGAACCACTGGCACCTGCTCACGGAGAACAAGGGCATCGCGGTGGCGATGGCGATCGGCTCGTACTTCGCCGGCTCGACGCCGCTCGGCGGCGGCACTGTCGGCTTCCCGGTGCTCGTGCTCCTGTTCGACCAGCCGACGACGCTCGGGCGCGACTTCAGCCTCGCCATCCAGTCCATCGGGATGGTCTCGGCCTCGGTGCTCATCTGGTGCCTGCGCCTGCCGGTGGAGGGCCGGATCCTCAAGTGGGCGATCCTCGGGTCGCTCCTGGGGACGCCGCTCGGTCTCGCGTTCGTCGCGCCGCACGTCCCGGCGCTGCACGTGAAGCTCGCGTTCGCGGTGCTCTGGGCGTCGTTCGGGACGCTGCACTTCGCGAAGATCCGCGAGATCGCGAAGCTGGACGGGATGACGGACATGCCCGTCGCCTTCGACCGGTGGGCGGGACTCTCGCTCGGCCTCCTCGCGGGGCTGACGATCGTCGCGACGACGGGGGTGGGGATCGACGTGCTGATCTACATCGTGCTCGTGCTCGTGAGCCGGTCGGACATGAAGATCGCCGTGCCGACGAGCGTGGTGCTGATGGCGGTGACGTCTGTGATCGGCATCATGGCGCGCTGGGCGCTCTCGACCTACGACCACGCCCAGTTTGCGCTGGCGCCGGGGCTCTTCGGCGCGTGGCTCGCGGCCTCGCCGATCGTGCTGCTCGGCGCGCCGCTCGGCGTGCTCGTCGTGCGGCTCATCCCGCGGTCGTTCACGCTTTTGCTCGTCTCGGCGTTGTGCCTGCTCCAGTTCGGTTGGACGCTCTGGAACGACCGGGCGTCGCTGACGTGGCCGATCATCGGGGCGACGGCGATCGCGTTCCTGCTGCTCAACCTGGGGTTCATGCTGATGTACGAGGCGGGCCTGCGGTGGGCGCGCCGTCGCGGGCACGCCGAAACGCCTCCCAGCGGCTAAAGTTGGGCGCATGCCCGACCGCGACGGCCTCCCCCAGCTCGTCTCCGTGCTCGTGCCCTGCTTCAACGAGCAGGCGACGCTCGAGCGCGCCGTGGAGCGGCTCGTCGAGACGGAATACGGCCAAGGGGTGGACAAAGAGATCCTGATCCTCGACGACGGCTCGACGGACCGGTCGATCGAGATCGCGAAGCAGCTCGAGGCCCGGTTCGACGAGGTGCGCGTCTTCCTGATGAGCCCGAACCGCGGCAAGGGGGCGGCGATCCGCGTGGGCGTCAAGGAGGCGAAGGGCGAGATCGTCCTGATCCACGACGCGGACCTGGAGTACGACCCCGCCGACCACCCGCGCGTGCTCGCGCCGATCCTCGACGGGCGGGCGGACGCCGTGATCGGCACGCGCTTCGGCGGGCAGACGCACCGCGTCCTCTACTACTGGCACTCGCTCGCGAACCGGCTCATCACGACGTTCTGCGACATGGTCGCGGACCTGAACCTGAGCGACATCGAGTGCTGCACGAAGGCGTTCCGCGCCGAGGTGTTCCGGGGGGTCCGCGGGATCACGATCCAGGAAGAGGGCTTCGGCGTGGAGCCGGAGCTCGTCGTCAAGCTCGGGCAGACGCGCACGGAGGGCGGCGGGCGGTTGCGCGTGTACGAGGTCGCGGTGAGCTACGCGGGACGGACGTACGCCGAGGGCAAGAAGATCCGCGCGAGCGACGGGGTGTGGGCGCTGTGGTGCGTGGCGAAGTACGGGTTCGGGCGGATCGGGCGGAATCTGTGGTATGGGGCGCGGGGCGGGGCTTGATATGATCATTTCATATCAATGACAGCTTCCAATCAATATCCACTTTATATATTCATCGACGAGGGTGGCGACTTTAATTTCTCGCCCACCGGCACGAAATATTTCACGCTCACGGCGACGATCTACAGGCGACCATTCGTCGCCGATGCTGAGCTCCAGTCTCTCCGTTTCGATCTGCTTGAATCCGGGATCGCACTGGAACGGTTCCACGCATCCGAGGATCGCCAACCCGTTCGCGATGCGGTCTTCGGGATTCTCGTCAGGCACGCGGATCGATTCGTTGTCGACAGCGTGATCGTCGACAAGGGCAAGACCGGCCCGTCGCTGCGCGATCCATCGAAGTTTTATCCAAGAATTCTCGGGTACCTCCTGAGGTACACGATCGAGCAGACCGACCTGGCTGAATATCGAGGCATCCAAGTCATCACAGATCGGATCCCAATCAACAAGCAGCGTCGCGCCGTCGAAAAAGCGATCAAACTAACGCTGAGCGAGATCATCCCGAGTTCGACCCCGTACCGCATCACACATCAGGACGGTCGGTCGTGCACCGGCTTGCAGATCACCGATTACTTCAATTGGGCGATCTTTCGGGCGTGGGAGCGCGGTGACGATCGGAGCCGAACCCTCGTGCGTCATTGCATCCGAAGCGAGTTCGACATCTTCCGTAGAGGCGATACCCGCTGGTACTGAAGCTCGCAAAAAAGACGACCACCCCGCCTACCTCCTCTCGGGGGAGTGCTCCATGAGCACTTTCAGCGGGGTGGAACCTTTCTAGAAGTATCGTCCTTGAACCCGTGACGGTCAAGAAATCCACGAAAAAACCCGCCGATCCGAAGACCGGCGGGTCGTGATGAAACTCGGTGACTGAGCGAACCGCTCAGGACTCGTCGGATTTCTCGTTCTCGCCCGACGGCTGCTCCTCGCCCTTGTTGTCGGAGGCGGCCGCGTTGGCGGTCTCCTCGTCCTTGGGCTCCTCCTTCTTCTCCTTCTTCTTCGGCTCGAGGGCCGGGTCGAAGGTGGCCTGGAAGGTGAGCTCCTCGGCGTCCGTCGCGTGGGTGACGGTGATCAGGTTCTTGTCCTGGAAGTTGCCGGAGAGCAGGGCCTCGGAGAGCGGGTCTTCCATGTACTTGCTGATCGCGCGCCGGAGCGGGCGGGCGCCGAAGTCGGGGTTGTAGCCCTTCTCGATGAGGAAGTCCTTGCACGGCTGGTCGAGGGTGAGCGTCCAGCCCTGCTGGGCCATGCGGCGGACCAGCTTGGCGGTCTCGAGATCGACGATCTCGACCAGGTCCTCCTTGCGGAGGGGGTGGAAGACGATGACCTCGTCGAGTCGGTTGATGAACTCGGGTCGGAAGAAGCGTTCGATCTCCTTCATGAGCACGGACTTGATGTTCTCGTAGTCCATGTCCTCGTCGCGCTTCGTGAAGCCGAACCCGCCGCCGCCCTTGATGAGGTCGGCGCCGATGTTGGACGTCATGATGAGCACGGTGTTGCGGAAGTCCACCGAGCGGCCGAACGAGTCGACCAGGCGGCCTTCCTCCATCACCTGGAGGAGCATGTTGAACACGTCCGGGTGCGCCTTCTCGA